CCTTCCCATTGTGGTACTTTTGATTATTCCTTTAAACAGCATACTAATAAAAGCCATTCAAATTGGCTAATGCCGAATGACAGATGGTAAGTATAATGATGTGGAATGTTTTGGCCTTTCTTGCAGCAAGTATTTTTGTTCTCCTTTACCTCTAAGCGCTGTAAGACATGAGCCTCCCTCAAAAACTGATTTTCGTCTTAGTGTCAAGTGCAACTACAACCGCAGGCGTTGTTCTGTTTAATAGCATGAATAGTTTTTTTAATCTGTCAGTTACAATTATCAATGTGTGCAAATTGCCCGTGACAATACAACTGCCGCATGGCAACTAATCGAAATCTTTTTTTCACTACATCCTTTACAATGCAAATGAAGTTGCAGGACGTGGAGAAAGGGGAAGGAGAAGTCCATGCTGCTGAACTGGCTTTCTTGAGTGAGGACCATTCCCGGTGGAAAAGATATCTTCTCTCAGTGAGGGGTAACATTGTGAATTGGTCAAGATGGGTAGTGGTGTGAGTGAGTAATCGACTGGTGGAGTTGACATTGTTCTCCTAAATGTATGAGTTGCTTTTCCAAAGATAATGCCTTATGTTGGTCCGAGACGAGGAACATTTGAATGTAGAGGGGGAGAGAGAAGAGGTCTCCACGAGAAGGGATGTTTACCAATTAGTTCACCTGGATTACTGCTAACACTCTTCATCCAGTGCTCTCTGTACCTCCAATCTCAACCCGCATTCTGGTGTTTTGCATGAAGAAAGTAATAATGTGCTGAATTGATGACTGCTGGAAGCAGTCAAGTGCCCAGCTCCCACACTAACCCCTATACTCATTTACCCACCCAAACGGCTAGCACTTGTGCAATTAACGTCTGCACTATGCTGCCCACATTGAAGGCTGAAAGTGGCTTATTTGGGAAATCTCTGTTTAAACCTACAAGCCTTTGATACGGAAAGTGGGGGAAAATTATTTGTTAACCTCAGGCGCAACAAAGAATTCGCTGAATCCCTTTACTTGGCCACTGCTGATTCCTGGGTCAAAATAGGAGGAGTTATAGGAAGCCGGCAAAAACACAGAGGAGCTGATCTACAAGAGGCAGTAAAACCTTCGACTAGGTGAAGCAGATGAATTAGACTAATCAGAAAAGGCGTTGTACCATAGTGGGAAGGATGGGATGATTACATGAGTAGGCATGAGGGAGAGTAAGTTGCAGGATGCGGTAAAAGGGGTTGCTGAGCGGAGCAGC